GTGAGTATCTTTGTGTGGGTGAATCAACTAAATTGTATGTATATTTGTCACGTAATAGCATATTGTATTATATATAGAGGAACATTGGGTGAAAATAAAGGTGATTACCGTGAATTAATAGATGCTGCTTTATTGGCCATTGCTCAAAATAATTACAAAGAAGCTTATAAACATTTTGAAAATGCATACATAATGGACTCAAATAAAGTCATGGTAGTAAATAATTGCTTGTTTCATAATTTACTAAATATTATTATTTTTAATGTAAGTATAAATAGTAAATAATTTTGTGCACATGTTACAGGCTTTAAATAACATGGCTACATGTTTATTTTATGAAGGCCAATTAAATAATGCAATAACACTGTTGGAAGATGCTATACAAAAATTTCCAGATTTGGCATTAAATGAAAGTTTACTATCCAACATATGTTGTTTCTACCAGTTTCAAAATTCTGCGTCTAATAAACAGAGACTACTCAAGTATCATATTATTTCAAAATATAAAAATAGTGTCCCCGATATTATTAATTAAGTTACGTTATATATTAAATTATGTGATATTAAAATATCAAAAAAAAATCTGTTATTTATTTATTTATTTATTTATAGATTTTAATGAAATGTTTTCTATGTTTATGATTTTAATTTAACTCATTTTTATATTAATATTATACTTTTGTTTTGAAAAAAAATTTTCTTTAAAATCATTATATTATTGATGCATTAATGTATTATAATTATAGTTATTGATGACTAAAAAAAGGACATCTTATTAACTAGTAACAAATATGCTTTGATTGGAAAGGGATAAGTACCTCTACTATTTATTAATATCTTGAGAGCACACTACTTATTATTTTAATTTGAACAAGAACAATATGTTCTTATTTACAAAATATTTTTAAACATGACCACAGTATTTTTGTTGTATACGGTACTGCATCCCAGTCAAGTTTTATAATTGAAGAGTATACAAATTAATATACATTTAATTAATTAATACTATTTTAATGTAAATAAATGACTAATGCTTAAAAATATTTATTTCAATCACTCATAGTTTAATTTTTTAGTAGTTGTTATTACTGGCATTCTTGTACGCATATTGTAATTATTTCTTTGAGTGCCCCCTAACACCCATATAACTACATAAGTAAGGATAAGCAAGGATTGATTTAATAATTTGAAGTCATACAAATATTTTTTAAATCTAAGAGTCCGGTTTTTTTTTTCTTTATCTAATTTGAATACTGGGGCCTGGGGGTTAATGATTAATAATAATTGGAGAATATTAGTGTTGATAACAACTGCATCTAAATACATAGAAATAAAATTTATATTTATTCAATGTATTTAACTTTTATATATTTTACAATTATTAGGAAAATTATTTATTATATTTATAATACCCCAGCAATTATTCTAGATTGATATGGTTACCAATGAACAGCTTTTCATTTTTGATGTATAAGAAGATTGGAGATATAGATTATTTTGAAATATTCTATAGAGTATAGATATTCTTTCAATTAATATTTTAGAGAAGAATTTCTCTCAAGGTTTAAAAGGTTAAATTCATTAAATTCAGTTAATTTCATTGTTTCTTCTGGGTGAAATATATATTTATATACCTTTAATACCTAGTAGATGAATTAACATTATGGTCAATTTTAATGAAACAAATAAAATACCAAATTTATCCTGTACATAAAAATGGGGTGGGATCAGAATCTTTAGAGTTTAAATACTTATGTTAAGAAATCTTGCTTACTTTTAGTCTTAAGATGATTTTAATTTTAATTTTTGGTGATATGGTAAATTTTTTAAATGTTCATGATGTCCTAATGTGGTTTTTACAGAAAGAAAAATTGAAAAAGTCGCTGGAAGAGGTCCTCACACAAGGATTTATAGATTTCGAAGAAAATCGAAATTTTTTTTAGCGTCTTTTCTGGTAGAAAAGTGATTCTATATTAGATTCTTTGGGTGGTCAAAAGTAAAAAAAAAAAAACTTAAGGAAAATAGTGTTTTTTAAGTAAGACCAGTTTTTTAAAAATTCAATTCAATTTTGGTTTTTGGTTCAGCTATAAAAAAAATAACCGTAGATAAATTTTTAAAAATATTTTTTACTGTTTTTGATCTTTTTGCTGGCTACAACTGGATGCTAAATACATAATTTTTTTTATGAACGTTCGAAGCAGGGGCGTAATTACGGGGGGGGGATATGGGGGATAGATCCCCCCCTTGATCTGTATTTTCATACTGTCGTATACCCATAAATAGTTCAGATACAAACTTATAAATTAATAATTATTATTAAACTAAAAAATAAAATAAAATATTTAGTTGTGTTAGTACGGATCATAAATATTTTACTCGGTAAACGATGAGCATGATTTTAAAATATGTGGTCTGTTTCATTTTAATTCTTATTAATTAATTAACACTTGGTTGCCCTGCCGGGCCACACCTGTACCTAATTACAGTACCTACTTCCTACACACTACATGCATATTATAGATTATATATGGTAAGTAATCCGATGATGGGTAAAACCACTATTCCAAAAATTAAAATTTAATAATGAAAATCTAACTTCAAGATTTACATTTCGTAGAACGAATAATAATACTACGAACGCGGGCCGACACTAAGTATCTATACATTGATTATCGCGATTACGTACACACACTACATACTGTGACATTCTCGATTCTCACATAGCCACAGTGTCAGGCAATTTATTTAATTTTCATAAGCTAAAAGCAAAATGGAGCAAAAAAAATAAAAAATTACCGGCAACTAATAATACTTTTTTTGAATTTTTTTAAAAAGAAACCCGGACTTGACGTAAGTATTACAATTTTAAATTATTCAAAATACTACACATTATCAAGCCCGGAATTATATGTTTTTTAAAATCGTATAAAATATGTATGACGTATTTTGTACACTTAACATAATAAGCATTACAATTCGCATCAAAAATAAGCAAAATTAAATAAACACCAGTTAAAAATGTATTGACAATTTAACTGCAGTTTATTCAATAAATATTATGTCATATTAATTATAATAAAAAAATGAATGAGTCTACTAAAAATAGAATTTAATTATTTATAATAATAATAATTAATAATATCTAATAATAATTAAAAAAATTAATTTAATTCGATTTTACCTATACATTTTCTTGTTTATTAATTAAGGAAAACATATAGAAATCTGATGATGTATTACCTTATGTTGAAAATAAAAATTTGATTCAAACTGTCCGAGTAACAAATAAGGTAGTTTTGTTCTATGGTATTATACCTGTAGCTTGACCGCTAACACTGCATTATCATTAATACAATTTAATAATTTAATTATGTTCTGCTTCGTATATATTTGTTATTTGTAAATATATAATATTATGTAATATAAAATGATTATATTGACATATGTTGAGTTATTAAATTATACCAAATATAGATAAGGGGGTGTGGGAGGCAAAGGCCTCCACAAGTTTACTATACAAAATTATTTCCCCCCCCCCCCTCCCATAAAACATTCTCAATTACGCCACTGGTTTGAAGTAAAAATGTTGATGAGACTAGTCGAAATTACGAATATTAGTAAATTATTTTGAGTTAGAAATTTTTCTATTTATATCTTAAGATTTGAAAATTCAATACATTATTCTACAAGTTTTCCTATTCTTAACAAAACAAAAGTTCACCGGAAAGTTAAATTCATTTTTAATGAGTGTTTGAAGTCTATAAATTCTCATTGAACGATTTTCATATACCTATTTTTTTTACAAACAATTCACACGTGGTAAGCCTGAGTATGCACAACGGACTCCGAAATTCGCACGTGTCTTGCTAAAAAACCAGTTTTACTATTCCGGGCGTCTCGCCAGCAAATCCGAAAATGGAAATTTTGCAAAAATCATAAAAATTGTTATGCGAAAATGTAGCACGTGATTAGCATGATTATGCACGATAGACTGAAACTCGCACGTGTCTTGTTCACCAGAAAAACCGGGTTTACTATTTTGAGCGTCTCGCCAACACAGCCCAAAATTAAAAAACAAAAAATATCATAACATATTTTTAGTAACAATGCACGCTGACATACAGTCTTTGCTCAGAATCGTTTTTCATATGCAGTGATTTTATATCATTGAGTTCAAATTCAACCCATTAGTTAAAAAAACTTCTTTAGACACCTAGTGTTGTACAGCAGATCGGTGCCCACACGCCCTGCTCGAAGTTAATAATACGACAATGTGCATATTAGAGTAACCCAATATAGATAATCAATTTACGTTAATAACCTAACCCAATAAGTAACAGTAACTTATCCTATAATCTTCTCACATTCTGTATTACCGATAGCATAATAGGTACGAGGTACCTATGTTAAGAAATTTCAAAAAATGTACCTATACACTTTTTTTAAATTTTCGAATACATTTAAAATTTTAATATTTCTATGATAGGTATATCATAAGAGTGTGTAGCGGTATGCCGTTGAGCCATTCTAAAAAAATATTTTAAAACTTGTTAAGTTTTGTATAGTATAAAAAAAAGTATAGGAATATAGATATATTATATATACTATATAGGTACCTATTTGATTTAATTTTTAAATTATTCGTATTTAAGAATTATTGAATTGTTTCTATTATAGAAATGTGTGGAATAAATTTAATTACCTACTTCAAATTTATAATTAACAGTTTACTTAACAATCACTAACCGACATTATGATATCTTAATATTTATATTTATATATAATATATACCGCCAATTTCTGATGCCAGTTTTTCGCGCGGTATGACTATAATATTATAATATGGTCATATATAGATCGGACTGATCTGGGCCCGGGACCACCTCGTTACCGATACAGTACGTTTTGTCACCAGAATGCGTTACGCCGCTGATGGGTGGCTGTGGGTCGGAGAGGGAGCGAGGAGATGGGTCGCCCGCTTTTCATCGATCCGCGCCGCCGCCCAACCATCAACCCCCTCCCGCGACCGTCCCAAGCACGGTTTCCCAATCGCTTCCGCTCCGCGCCGCGACGACACACGGCTTGCGCGTTTTTTTCCCCGTTACATCCAACACCGCTTTCGTCTTCATTTTGATTTCCCCGTTTTCGTTTTTCGTCCTCAAGCACTGCAGCACAGTCATCTCATTTTACCGGCCGGTCGGGAAAAATATGCGTACAGTGGAGACGGCGGTGGCAGCGACCACTATTCCATCGGCATTGGAAACGGCGGCAGCGGCGGTGGCTGTAGTAATAACATCGTTATAATAATAATAACAACATAACGGCCTACCTACCTATATCTAAAATTTATTAATAATTTTCGTTAATAATAAAATCGAATTATTTTTTGTTTCTCTTTCGCTTTTGACTCTTCGACAGGTACCGACGACATTATAATACATCGCGTACTGTTGTAATATAATAAAATATTAGGACCGTGGCCGCAGTGCGCGCGAGTGCAGCAGTTGCAGTCGTCACATATAGGTAGGTGGCCGCCACCGCAGCTGTAGCGGTGGTCGATGGCCAATTTCGGTCGGTTTTACGTGCCGCCGTTCGGGGCCGCCATGAACGTGGTGTGGGCCGCCGTCAAGGCGTACGTTCCCGAGGACAGCCCGTGTGTGGAAGCCATCTTGAAACGCCGTGGCGATCGGGCGGCGGCGGGCGCAGCGTCTGCCGGAACCGGGGCGGCGGACGCCGTGGATGCCGAGCGGAACCGGTTGCAGGGCGGTGGAAAACCGGATACGAACCCGTTCCGGACCACGTGCAACTCGGAACTGTCGTCGTACGGCGGCGTGGAGAAACGCGACGGTGGCGTGGACGGCGACGGCGTCACCAAGAGGACGCCGCAAGCGTTCAGCATGGACGACGGTAGCTTCGATGAGGACTCGTCGGGCGGCGGAGAGTTCGGTCGCGGCCGGCACAAGATCGACGAATGGCAAGCCGCGTGGAACGTCACCAACGCCATACAGGTAACTACCTATACGACCACGACCACGATGATGATGACCAATAACGATTGATGATATTTCCTGTACAATATAGGGTTATAATATAACTGTGCACGCCAAGGCGCGAATAGCCCCCCCCCCTATTTGGGGGGAGTTCGTAGAAAATAGATTAAGATTGAGTTGCTTGCGGTATCCCTCCAGCGTAATACCCTTTATACCATCTACGTCGAGCCATCTCTGAATCCTAGAGGTTATTTCAAACGTCGTTCGAATATGTTATATAAATATCTGTGCCGTATATTCCTTGTAAAATACCTTACAGGAGATTTAATTACTATAAATATAATATTAGGTATATGACATGAATGTCTATTTAAATGTCAGCCCCCCTCCCACCTAGGCCCTGCACAAGCTTTCATTTCGAAGTTATGGCTCCAAGTTCTGCTGTAATGAATTCACTTCTGTCTACTTTTTATATTTTGCAATGGTTTTCCTTTTAACATAGATTCTTAACAAAAAAATCCACACCTAACAGATCGGGAGAATTATATAACATATAGGGTGTGAATTATAGACCTCAAAACATGGCGATACTATAACGATGTGACGTGTTTTTCTTCTCGTCGATCGTTTTTTGGTTAAAGAGTAAAATGGTTAGAAAAAAATTCAACTCGCCACACCTGTAAATTGAAAATCAAACTTGAAATCTCAGTATTTATCATAAATAATTATATTCATCTTATATTAAACGACGATTTAAATAGATACTATTTAATTCAACTTGTTAACTCTACATATTCCGATTAGGCACTAGTGAACAATTTAAATATGGAATACGATTGGATGGACAAGGGACACAGATATGATAGATAATTTACCAAAAACGTAAAAGTAGGTTCATTTTTAATTGTATATATTGTAAACTTAATAGTCGAGCAATAAAAATCTTAGTAACAGAGGAAGGTACTTTTATAGTGTATAGACTATAGACGTATAGTAAATATAGGTATAATTGTATAACACATCATATATTTATTTACGTCGTCTAAAGGATATGAACAAAAACTTTTTGCATTCATATATTCGTATTAATGGTATACCTGTTTTACATTTATTTTTAGAATGTTTTATATTCATACATTGTTTACTAAATAATTACTCATTATTCTAATTTTTGATTCTCCTCCTATAAGTTTTATCTTAGGTGCCTACTGCCTACTATATAATATATAATATAACTAGTTAAGACCTATAAATACATTATTTTAGGTGAATCGACGAACTGCACCTTGAACGCACTTCATGATCAGTAATAATTAAGTGAGTTCGGATAATAATTAACATTGACATGCACTATAAATTATGTAAAATAGCCTTCACTTATTTTATCAATATATTATGCACTATTTCAACAAAATTAATATGATCACAGTATTTTTAATCGCAACATTTTTTGACTTTTGCGTTAACTAGGTACTTAAAATGCACCTGATACCTGTTTTATGCGACGCACTTTGATTGATTATATATATTATGCATTATGACGTACAAAAATATGATGTACAATTAATATTGGATTTGTAAACAGCATGTAATAATGATTATGTATTTATATTTTATATTATATCTATATAATTTTATTTATTTTTAACTATTCTTTTTTTAAAACAGTATTCTTAAGACACGAGGGTTTGTGGTTACACACCCTTGTAAATATATTTATTTTTATCAAATAAATATAAAGTTAGGTACATAGGTAATTTATAAAAGATATTTGGAAACTGCTGTTAGCTAAATGTGTTACACGACAAACAATATAAGGTGCAAAAATCGAATAAATCTTCTACAACTTTTGACTTTTGGTGTAAAACTTTGAACTATAACGGTGTGGGAAATCTAATTTCGTTTAGGCACTCAAGGTGGGTCGATGATCAGTTTTCGAAAATACTAGTACGACGCGTATTGTGTAAACTTTATAATTGGGGGATAAAGTTATTATTATGCAACGTCAAAAATAAATATTTAAATTTGTAAAATTCATAATGTAACTACTGTATATATGTCACACGACGCGTTTTCATATGTTAAGTCTTAAGTGCATGAGTGTTTCTATGTTGTAAATTTGTAACGTTACGGAACTTTTTTTTTTCACAATTAAGTATAGCTACCTATATCCAATATTACAGTATCCCTTATAACTAGGAAAATGTACGAGGCGTAAAAATAAAAACGACAAATCCTACAACATATTTTATGATACTGAATTTGAATGAGCATGACTGCACGAGAGAGAGAGAGAGTGAAAAAGAAAAACCGAGAGAGGTTTGCTATAAAAACATGTTGACCACGCGCGGCAGCTGTTGTAACAGACATATAATACTAACATTACGTGATCCAGTAGCACAAAAAAAACATTTAACTTAACTACGTAAGTACAAAATCGTAATTGGTGGGGTAGGGGGGACTCAAACAGTACAATATGGTAATAAAAGTAAATATACACGTACCGAGCTTATATTATAAGACGATGTAGTTTTGAGTTTATACTCAAATATCTTGAATACTCATACACTTATAGGTATACTGATGATCATATGTATAGGTTATAAAGCTGTAAATTACGTTTTGGCAATACATCAACCAATGTCCAATAGTGCTCTGTGCAGGCTGTTTGATCAAAAGATTCTATAAAGAGCCGCCCTGAAAAGGGAATGGTCCTGGGCTAGATAAAATCGGTCTAACTGGGCTAAATAAAATTGGAAAATTGGTTTAAAAAATGACATTATTTCATATCATTTTCAAATTTTTAGTTTCATAGAGAAGTAACAGAGGCACTTAGAGTAGCGATATATTTGATAGGTATGTAATAAGTGAATAAATATCGTAATCAAACATAATAATGTAATATATGATACTTAGTGCTTACCTACATGGCTACATATCTTATGAAATTGGGGAAAATATGGTGTTAGGTTTAGGATAAAACAAACAGGTAGATCCAGTAACACTTTTAGAAAACTATAGAATTTGTTTTATTTCATTTGGAAATGGAAAATTCTTCTGAAGTTCGTTAATTTTGAATCAATTAATAAGAAGAATGAACAAAAAAGTGGGCACTAAATACACTTGTAAATGGAAATTTATGTTAGGATTCACGATTATTTCCGCATCAGGCCTTGCAATTTTTTTCCCTGGATCTTGAAAATCCTATAAAGTATAAGGACGGCTCTGATCTTAATAACCAAGTCACAGTAAGTTGTATAGTTAAAAGTGTTTGACTATATATACAGGTGATTTAAAAGTCTTTACCTGATTACGACTTTAGGCTCAGCAATCGTAAACGACCTATACCTATTGTATAAATATTGGAAGTTGTTGTCATGTTTTTTTTTATTTTCAATGCCAATAAACGTTTATCGTAAGCGTTAGTATATTGTTTGTAATTATAATCATTAGTAAACTGCCGTCGAGAATGCCGAGATGAAAAAATTTAAAAAAACCGTATTGTGAATAGGTACCATGCAGATTCCGACGGCAATATTGCACATTATTGTAACACACTATATTACAACTTGATTATTTAAAAAATTATATTTTTTACATCACTTCACCCCTATATATCTTCAATTTTTAAATTATTGGATTAAGATATACATCGATATATAGGTATAGATAGTCGATTACTATCACGCACCTATAATATTATACATTTATTCAATAGCCAAAATATTACAATATGTCAATATACAATTATAATTAACAACGTACTGATTAGGGCTCGGAAGTTATAAAACTTAAAAATGTTAGTTTATTACTACATTAAATATTTAAACATTGTTTTATGGAATAATTCTGAAGTCTGGAGTACCTATTGCAGGCTGTCGGTTGGGAATGTATTCATTATTGAACTGAAAAAATATTAACGATAGGTACCTAAATAGTAACAGTATAGAAATTGATTTTCAGTGTATTTTCTAAGTTGTATACTAAAATATTACATAAGTGAGACACAAAACATATGGCTTGTTTTTTTTAGAAAACATTTAACGTACACTTTTTGAATGAAAAATAATATGCATTTAACAATTTTTAAATTCGTCGCGTCGTTGTATACACATATAGAATGGATTTCTAGCTTTCGGTCGGCTATATAAATCGAAATCCGCACACTAAATGCATTAGAAAAACACACTATACAACTTCCGAGTCCCACATAGCACCTAATATAATTATTATGCACCAGCACCATTACGTGTCGACTGCACTGTCATAGCGACAACGGACCGACTGACCTCCATAGCTATATAATATAACATGTAATAACATTGACGTTGACCTGTGCAGGGGATGTTTGTGGTGTCGTTGCCGTTCGCCGTGCTGCGTGGCGGTTACTGGGCGATCGTGGCCATGATTGGGATCGCGTACATTTGCTGCTACACGGGCAAGATACTGGTGGAGTGCCTGTACGAGCTGGACTTGAACACGGGACAGCGGGTCCGTGTCCGCGACTCGTACGTGTCGATCGCACGGGATTGTTTCGGGCCGGTGTGGGGCGCCCGGGCCGTGAACGTGGCCCAGATGATCGAGCTGCTGATGACGTGCATACTGTACGTGGTGGCGTGCGGCGACCTGATGGAGGGCACGTTCCCGGACGGCCTGATCGACACGCGCAGCTGGATGATGATCACGGGCGTGCTGCTCATACCGCTCGGGTTCCTCAAGCACCTGCACCACGTGTCGTTGCTCAGCTTCTGGTGCACGATGTCGCACATAGTCATCAACATCATCATACTGGGCTACTGCGTGCTGGAGCTGCCCGACTGGGGCTGGAGCAAGGTCAAGTGGACCATCGACGTGGAGAACTTCCCCATATCGCTGGGCATGATCGTGTTCAGTTACACTTCACAGATATTCCTGCCCACTCTCGAGGGCAATCTGTCCGACCGATCGAAGTTCGACTGGATGCTGGAGTGGAGCCACATCGCGGCCGCCATATTTAAGTCGTTGTTCGGTTACGTGTGCTTCCTGACGTTCCAGAACGACACGCAACAGGTGATTACCAACAACTTGCACTCGCCGGCGTTCAAGGGCCTGGTCAACGTGTTCCTGGTGGTCAAGGTGCTGCTGTCGTACCCGCTGCCGTACTACGCGGCGTGTGACATACTCGAGAAGTCCTTTTTTATCGGGCCGCCGGCCACGCCGTACCCGAGCATCTGGCACGTGGACGGCGAGCTCAAGGTCTGGGGCCTGGCGTTCCGCGTGGCCATCATCCTGTGCACCGTGTTCATGGCCATATCCATACCGCACTTCGCCATATTGATGGGCTTCATCGGCAGCTTCACCGGCACCATGCTGTCCTTCATATGGCCTTGCTACTTCCACCTGAAGCTGAAGGGCGACTCGCTCGAGTGGCGCACCATAATGTTCAACTGTTTCGTCATATTTCTTGGCTGCTTGTTCGGCGTTATCGGCGTCTACGACTCCGGCACGGCCATCATCAAAGCGTTTCAGATCGGGTTGCCGTTCTGAGCGGTGCGTGGTTCGTCACCCAAGTCCCCGTAGTTTTCCCCAAGTTTTCCCTCTAGAACCTGTTCTCGCCACCCACGTACCCACCACACCGCCCATTATACCAGCTACCACTCGTCGTGCGTCCACCATAAGTCATATGATATACTATTATTATACCTTTATCCGCCTCCCACTCCCGAATTCGAGATCTATTTGTTATTAAAAAGTTATTAGTGACCATGTTACAAACAATGCATTTTTTTGCAGATGGTAGACCCGGATCGAACTTTCAGACATAAGAAAAAAAAAATTATAATAATATAATGGGGCGTTTGATTTGGTTCGAATATTTGCAGTTATTTCCAGTTTGATTACGAATAGATTATGAATCGATTAAAATTCGGATCCATTTAAAAACCATCAGTTCATAACGTATAGCAGGTACGTATCAGTCCAATCTTCGCTATTATAACCGCGGGTGCTGTAATTTATTACATTATCATATCACCAACACTCGTTACGTACCAATGACAATAATAACAACAATACAGCGAGTGGGTGAACTCTGCAGTGGTCGCGCTGATTGTCTTCGGACGATTCGGTTCCGTAGATGGACTTATGTTCTATATAGTAATAATCTAACCTCCCCTCCCCACTTTTCATGGATGATCGTTGGCGAGAAGGCGACGACGAATACCGTGACTTTACAGCCTTTAGGATTTTTGGGATCCGAGTACCCGACAAGTATAATATATTGTTTAATAATTTATTATGCTAATATTATTGTTTACTCGCTTATTCCATAAATGCATCATTGTTATTGTAACAACCACGACACTTGCATGAATCCATATCATTGTTGTCGTATTATGTTTTACAAAAGACAAATTTTAGCGAAACATCCGAACTGTATTGTTACAATCCCTTTGCCGGCCAGTGTGATTCATCATCTCAGGACACTGCCAAAACGTTTACAAGTTATGGCACTGCAGTAGACACTATAATAGAAGGTAATATAGGTATATAGGTAATTAGTTACGCAGTTACCTACTTGCCTAATTTTTTTTCGATTTTCAATTTCTAATACCGTAAATGGGTTTTGACTTTTTTCTTCCTCAGGCAGTAATACACTTATCATGTATAATTTCGATATTATGCAGTACTTAGTCGTTTTGAAATCGCATTCACACATCCGCACGTTGTTTTTATTTATTACTATTTTGTATTTATTATCATTATTGTTGTTATTGCGGTTTACAAATTACGATTAGGTATACTAAATAATTTCACTAACCTGTCAGGTCTACACCCTGTCTGGTAACCTATACCTGAGCTTTTAGCGATTACCCATGCCTGCTATATTATATTATAATATTCAAATATTAATTCAACGTCATATATGTTTAGACGATATTATTATTATAACTGTACACCGGTAGGGAGTAATAATTAGTTATGCGATTTTTACATTTTTTAAAATTATAATGAAATTAATAGAAGTATTCAAATTGAATTACCTATATAGCCATATAGGTAATAAATTAGGTATATGTATAAAAGTAATAAGTATATAAGCAATTTTTTAAAAACAACGGTTAGACCGTTGTAGTTTGTGTCTTCCAATATATATATATATATATATATGTATGTAATTGATATTGTGATAAACAACATTTGTCTTCCAGGGCTTGTAAGCCCATATTACCAAACAATATTTTATTCTTGAAATTGAAAATTTTGACGACAAGAATGTTTGGTGGTTAAAATGTCAAATTACCATTTTAACAATAAATGTAATGTTTATATTATTATTATATTATATTAATTAAGTACAACCGTTTATGTATTATTAATATTGTAACATTCAAATTGTGCTGTTTGTAGCAATTTATTATGTCTTCCATTAAAAAAACGATTCTAAATGTTGTTGATGTTTGATTTTCAAATGGTTCTGACCGAAAAAAATGTAAATCCATTTGGATCCCAGACATCTTTATACTTCGGATAAGTAACATAAATAATATATTATATTAAATTAGCGCTTAATTGTTAAATAATGTCAATTGCAAGTCTTCCAAAAAAAAAAAATATATCACCTATAGCGATTAGTCAAAATAATTATACGTTATTATTATATTATATTGTCATAATTTAAAATCATGTTAATATACCTACTTTATTATTTGTAAGCATTTACTTACATAACAAACATAATATTTTGTCGAGTTATAACATTACTACTACTATTATACAAAACTAACCAGGTTTTTTTCTAAGAATAAGTAGTTTCAATTAAAACAATTGTTTTATATTCATATGTTTATAATAATTAATAATAATGATCAAAGAGAAAAATGTGAACTACATACACATAAAAATATTGTTAGTAGCTTGTTTATCAAGAAGCCGTTTGATCATATTATCACAATAATTTGTAATATTTATATATTCACTTTTAAATACCTACTTAAAGTATATTCAATTAATTATACTCTTTGTTATGTTTAAGTATAAGTAAACATTATATTATATACAACACGAGCATTATTTTGTTTTATCTAAGACTGCTATTGTCTTCCATAATTTATACCATAACTAATTAATTATTATTGTATACTCTTTCAGTATATTTAACAAAATACATTTAATCTTAAAATGTGATGTTTTTATTTTTTTAATCGAACATTATCATAGGCACATAATACACATATTTATTATGTTGGCAGTTACAGTTACACATTTATATTGTTTAGTAGAACACAATTGTTTTAATTACAGTAATATTTAAGGACAATTTTACCAGTGAAAAAGTTTGGTTTAATATTTCAGCTGTACCAATATATGATTCCCAGGTTCCTAAATTATAATATTAATATTGTGATATACATATTATAGAACATAAAATTCACAATGCATAAGGAAGTAATTTTAGTCAATTCCTAGTTTTTCTTTTCTGTGACAAACAAAACTGAAAATAATAACTTTTATGAAACTTAAAAATCACAGTTCTCAATGGAAACTAAAATTTATAAATCACAATCTAAAACAATTTGTATTATTTGATTAAGTTCCTTATTTATTATAAGATTTTTTGTTTTGTATTTAGCTAATATGCTTCATAATTATTTAGAATTCTTATAATATTCATTTAAATTTTAATGTAAAGTAATTAATTTTATAATTTATAATAGGAATGGTATGTATGATATATTAGTTATATACATATTTTAAACCTTTTACTCGCTACACTATGCCATTAAATATTTAATGTAATGCATTAAAGATTTAATGGATACAAATTCATAAAAAAATATTATACTTTTATAGTTTTGACCTATTTATTAAGTTGTTTTATGTAATTTTATTGTATACTAAAATCTTATTAGATACCTAATTTGTTGTATACAGAAGATTATTAATACAAAGAAAAAAAACTAACAATGGACCATTTAAATAATACAATTTTGTAGTTATAATTAAAAATTATAAGTAACACAATAAAATGCACAATATAGTTATACAACATTACACATTTTATTTATTCCAAACACATACTTATACAGTAACAAACAGCTAATATCCAGAAAGATAGTATTCCAAATTATTTTTACTGATGTAAAGATAAAAAATCTCAAGAAAAGTCATTAATAAATGATTATATAATATTTAATTATCAAATTGTGTATGGAAAAAACGAACAGGTAAAAAAACGTATAAATACTTTAAACAAGCAATGCTGGTGCATTTTTTTTCCCAGGCCACGCTTCCTTTGCATATTTTTTCTTTTTTGGCTCTGTTGAAGTGGGTTCAACTTTTTCAGACACAACTGGATTGGGAACGGCTATTTCTTCTATACTAGGGTTGATATCAACATCTGGTGCAGGATTTGGTAAATTCATACCAAGGCGATTACCAATTGATGATAAGAAACCATGCTGCTTATTGTCACCATCTGGACCTAGTAAGATAGGTTTTATAGAACAATATTATAAATAAGTCTCATTATGATAAATATCAATAAATAAAAATAGATTAATTCTAACCAGGGATATCACTGTAAAGTGAATTGTGTAAATGTGCACCAGGAATCATATTTTTCATGTAGTTTTTATTTTGACCATTAGCACTATTTTGGTCAATAGCAAAACCCATACCATCTTTGAATTTCTGTAAAATATAAAAAATATAAATGTCTGTATGTTAACATTAAAATATTTTATGCGATGTTTACTTTATTAGGTATGACAGTAGTTCTTATTAGGTTTCTGAAACGACCAACTGATGGATCAATATCTTCTGGATTGATTATCTGCTCATCTTCATTGAAATGAACTCCTCTTGTACGTTTTCGTTTTGTTTTTAATGCATCATCAGATATACCAAGCATTGATATGCGTCGATTTTGTGCCGTATTAAATTCAGTTAAATTCTGAAATACAATTGTTAAGATACTCATGGAATTTCAATTTCAATTTTGTATACATACATCAAGTTCAAGATCAGTTTCTGGTAGTCCTAATAGACTAGATGCATGATCAGATTCTCTCTCTAACTGGTCCATTATTGGACGAGGTCCAAAAGCTGATGTAGATTGAGGACGTTCCCGAATAATGTATGTTCGAGTAGATGCACCAAAATGAAACTGACTGTTTATTGGTAATTGAGTGGGTTTATCGGCTTCAATTCTAATGCTACCAATGTATGTACCATGAGCTACATCAAAAAAATAACAATGACATAAATGACAGTGAAGATTGATATAACTAGCTGTCATTCAATAAACTACGGCCTAAATGATGAACACTGGACATCAAAAATTCTAGAAATATAGCAGATAAATACATAAGATATATATTTAATTAATTAAATTTATGATCTTTGAAGACTAATAAAATAAATAAATTCAAACTTTTTACATTAATTAGATTAAATAGAACACCTATTGAACAATCATAGAGATATTATATTTTGTGGGTATATTACTTCTTTGTGTAAATATATAACTGTTAAACAAATTTATATCCAAATTGAGGTAGAATAATCTCAATATACTAGCATATTGAATGACAGTGCAATAAATGGTTATTCCAACTTACTAGATCCAAGATCAACCAAAAATGCTCTATTTAAATGTTTATGGTAGACAAATGCAGCATGAACTCTTGAACATGATTGATGATCAATACAAAAGTCACTCATCTGTGCATTACGTCCAAATAAGTAGCACTTTTTCTGGTCCAACATTAATTTCTAAACAAGTGTCAAAATTGTATTAATTTTATTTATGTTTCAATCAGTTATATAATTGTATAAACATAGTGAAACTCACTTGAATTAATTTGTCTCCTTTTAATACGTCCAAGTGTAAGCCTACAGGAGGTTTACCAGCCCTTAAAACAAAAAAAGATAAATTATATTTTTTATTATCTTAACTTTCAAATTAACACTTAAGTAGTTATGTCGGCCGACAGTTAAAAATTATAATTGCGTGTATGAACAATTCTCACCAATTCGGAACATCATAATGATTGGCCATTATAAATAATAAACAAATAATTTTATATTTAAATTAAAACAAACATGACTATTACAGATTAATTATTGGGATAATATACAGTTAAAATCTATATGTATACAATGTAATATGCACAATTATTATTCAATGAGAAATTAAAATGTAAAGAATAATAATGCTGTAAAATGATTTACTGTAATAATTGTATTGTTATTATAGTTTTATACCGAACGAAAAGAATTAAAAATTTAGTAACGAAGTCATAACTCATAATCCCGAAGCCGAATACTTTTTCTTATCAGTTAGGTTTCTTATCACGGATGTAAGGTATAAACAATTTGTATAATATTTGTATAACCACGGTAAATACCATAGAGTATTATTCCACGGTAAATACCCGCGCATAAACATCGAATACGAAAGTAACTTTTTTAAACATTTACATATTTACTAGCTCTCCGAGGGTCGGTGGAGGAAACCTCCAGATCCCCCGAGTGGGCTGAAAGTAGATTTGGGTCCACGGAGACTGAATCGTTGCAATTATAAAGTCGCGTCCGTAGGTGGTTTGAACCTCAGAAGTCAGAGAAGGTGATAAGGGGCTTTGGAGGTATCGTTTCGAAGGCGGGAACGTTTGAAAATCTAGAAATCTGTGATTGAACGGGATTGATGATCGATACGGTCGAATCTTCTGCTCTTACGAATGTCAAAACCCAAAGTGTATATATGAGAGCCGTATTTGAGTGTCTAGCAAGTCAGT